CTGTCTCTACTCAAAGCTTGGGGATCCTTTATTTTTGTTTCTCTGTTAAATAAAGAGCTGAAGTTTTTACCTGCTCTCTCAACTTAAACAGAAAAGGCTTCTCACTTGTCACATGAAAAGAAAAAAATAGGAGGGAAGTAGTAGTCTTGAATTCACCAGTATAATGAGACAATTCAAAGGAAAACATAATACTTTGCCATTAGATATTTTTGTTGAAAATGTTTCTTGAAATTGTTTCCCATTGTATGATACAAACCACATTCTTGTGATCTACAAGGCAAATAAGGGACTTTTCAAAGGGAAGACATCATTGTGAATTTTCCATAACAGAACTTGACTGTAGCAGTCATGGCATCTGAAAGAGCTTTAGGGGTCCAAGAAGAGGGGGGCAGTCGCCTAAGCAGTTCCCTTTTCATGAGCATGTCCCATATAAGTCCACCTGGACCCCCATGTTTAGTACCACTTCCTAAGAACAGTCTGGCTTCCTGGATGTGATAAGGGCTTTTGAAAACTATCTGCCATAGGCCATAGAAAACATACTAGTTTAATTACTCCTCTCTGGGTAATCCTATGAGTTACAAGAAAAACAAACTTAGCCATTATTTTTTGTTAATAAAATTTAGAAAATTGTGTATTGAAAATTCCTAAACTTTCTCTCTGATTTAAGCTATTTTTCCTTATCATTTCTTTAATAAGAAGAATATGATGAAAGTCTTGAATGTATTCTAACAATTTGGATACGATTGTAAGAGCTGAGCAAATGTGGAAAACTGTACTATCAACTGTTCAGTGATAATAATGAGTTAGTAAATATTCTCAGGAGGAAAAGGAAGAAACAATTAAGAGGCACACCCAGCTGTTTCCTACCTCAGGACATTTGCAGTTGCTGTTCCCTCTTCCTGAACATTCTTACTCCTCATAGCTTGTGTTTAGTCATCATCCAGGTCTCAATTCAAATGTCATCTTCTCAGAGAGGTGTTCCCGACCTTCTTTCCTGACCCTCAGTTCAGTCCCCACACCCCAACTCTACTGCAAGTCCCTGTATTACATTCATTGGTTTTGATTTCTTTTTAGCACTTATCATCAACTGAAGTCAATTATTTATGTATTGCTTTCCTTGTTTATTTATATCCCCAACTAGATTTTGAACTCCAAGGAGTAGGGACCTTGTTGGTCTTTTTCCATTGGATGTTAAGGTTAGTGCTGGATAGATGTGGAAGGAAAATGAGACAGCAAAATTGTCATGCTCATGAAAACAAAATAACTAAATAGGTAGACCATTTTGAACATCTTGAGAGAGAGTAAAGCATTAAAAATTCCACTTCAGTGGATACACTGCTGCAATCTGCTGCCATTGGGTATTAGATTTGTAACTGTTCATCTAAAGCATGTGCTTGTTATGAGCTATGTTTGTTAATATCACAACTTTGGGAACCCCGAGGAGGGTAGATAGTACTTAGGGAGCTCTTTTCCAGATGCCAGGGCTCTGGCATCAAACAGGACATCTCTGCCACACCAGTTATATCAGGATGCTTTGGCCTCAAGGTCTTAAAATCCTGACTCTAACTGAATTTAAGCATAAATTTTATGGAAGGACTGAATCAGGGTTGGTTGTGTTAGCAGCTCAAAATGCCATGAAGGACTCATTTTCTCCATCTCTGCTCTTGCCATCATTCGATGTCATCCCACCCAGGCAGGACAATGTCTGAGGAAGAAGGACAATGCTTCCTTTTTTCCCCCTAGACTTGCCCTAGTAGACTTCCTCCAGGGGTTCCTGGGCCATTTGGGGGTACATACCCGTGGTTGGACCAATCACTGCTGAGGGAGTGACATTATGCAGAACAATCAGGCTTGTCCCTGAGCTGGGGTTGTATCCCTTTCCCATGACATACGTGGGTTGCTTGGAGTAGCAGGCATCTGAACAAAACTGAGGTTCTTTGGGGAGTAGAAAAGGTGGGAAGTGCTATATAGTTCATCTGTTGTTCCTTTGTTTAGAAGAAGTAGATAATGGTGTTGCTAAAATTTCCCTCCTAAGTTTTATACTGTTTTATCTGATGGGTAAGGACTGGTTCAAGATTCTAGAGGTTGACTTTGTGCACTGTTGGTGGGATTGCAAATTGGTGCAGCCACTATGAAAACAGTATGGAGTTTCCTCAAAAAGTTTAAAACAGAACTACCGTATGATCCAGCAATTCCACTTCTAGGTATTTATCCAAAGAAATCCAAAACATGAATTTGAAAAGATATGTGCATCCTTATGTTCACTGTGGCATTAGTTATAGTAGACAAGATATGTGTCCATCAATAAATGATTGGATAAAGAAGAGGTGGTACACCTCTCCAAAAAGGACATACAGACATATGAAGGCCAAGAGACATATGAAGAAATGCTCAACGTCACTAATCATCAGAGAGATGCAAATTAAAACAACTATAAGGTATCACCTCTGACCTGTCAGAATGGCCGCCATCAACAAATCATCAAACAAGTGTTGGCGAGGGTGTGGAGAAAAGGGGATCCTAGTACACTGCTGGTGGGAATGCAAACTGGTACAGCCACTGTGGAAAACACTATGGTATTACCTCAAAAAGTTAAAAATTGAACTGCCATTTGACCCAGTGATCCAACTTCTAGGAATATACCCTAAGAAACCTAAAACACCAATCAGAAAGAATATATTTACCCCTATGTTTATAGCAGCACTATTTACAATAGCTAAGATCTGGAAACAGCCCAAGTGTCCATCAGTAGATGAGTGGATAAAAAAGCTGTGGTACATGAACACAATGGAATACTATGCAGCTGTAAGAAAGAAAGATTTCTGCCCTGGCCAGTTTGGCTCAGCAGTAGGAGCATCGGCCTGCAGTTCAGAGAGACCTGGGCTCAGTTCCCGCTAAGGGCATGTACCTCGGTTGTAGTTTGTCCCCAGCCCTTGTTGGTTGTGTGGGTGGCAGCCACTTGATGTGTCCCTTTCACGTCAGTGTTTCTCTCTCTCTCTCTCTCTCTCTCTCTCTCTCTCTCTCTCTTTTCCTCTCCCTCCCTCTCACTCTATCTGAACAAAAAATGGAAAAATGTCCTCTGGTGAGGATAAAAAAAAAAAAAAAAGGAAGAAAGATCTCTTATCCTTTGAGATGGCATGGAAGAATCTGGAGAGTATTATGCTAAGCAAAACAAGCCAAGCAGAGAAAGACAAATATCACATGATCTCACTTATTTGTGGAATATAATGAACTAAACAAACTGATGAACAAAATTAACCCAGAGACATAGAGGTGGGGTACAGACTGCCAAGCCTCAGAGGAGCAGGGGTTGGGGGTGGGGGTGGGGAGATAAACCACAGAACTTACATGCATGTATGCATGACCAATGAACATAGACAACAAAGCTGGGGATGGGGTAAGGGGGAAGGGGAGGAGGGTGTCAGTGGGGGAAAAATGAGAAACATCTGTAGCAAAATCAAATAAATAAATAAATAAAACTAAAAAAAACCCAAAGAGGTGGTACATATATACAATGGAATATTACATGGCCATAAAAAGAATGAAATCTTACCATTTGCCACAACATGGATGGAACTAGAGCATATTATGCTAAGTGAAATAAGTCAGAGACAGACACATACCATATGATTTAATTTATATGTGAAATTTAAAGAACAAAATAAATGAACAAACAAAACAGATACAGACTCTAGATACAAAGAACAAACTGATGGTTGCCAGATGGGAGGGGGTTGGGAGGCTGGATGAAAAAGGTGAAGGAATTAAGAAGTACAAATTGGTGGTTACAAAATAGTCATGGGATGTAAAGTACAGCACAGGGAATATAGTCAATAATATTGTAATAACTATATATAGTGCCAGGTGGGTACTTGAAATATTGGGGGGATAACTTTGTAACTTATATGGATGTCTGACCACTATGCTATACACCTGAAACTAATATAAAATAATATTGAATGTCAACTGCAATTGGGAAAAAAGATTCTAGTGTTTAATGCAGACTGAAGACCTGTACAGTTATAATCCTTTGGATGAAGCCCAAGCTTCTACTTAAGAGCTTGAGGAGGGGTGCCCATTTCCATGTACCGATGCTCCTGCTGACCAATAGGGGAAGAGGAGGCTTGGGCTCCTTTCTCAGATGTTTTAATCCCAGGCCCTGTCCTCAGAGAAGTGTAATCTATTCTGGAGTACCCATCTCATTTCCACATGTGTCTTTATTACTTTATCCTACCCTTCTTGCTTAAAACTTAAGAAAAAAGTTAGGGGATAATTTGGGAATTTGAGAGAGGAAGAGAGTGAGTTGTCAGAGTGGATATAATGGGGCAACCACCCATTTTCTGTTCACCTGCATTATATGTTGTTTATTCTGATCAAAGTAACTTTTGCCTTTTATATAATTCTCCTGGAGCTTTTTCATGTCCCATAACAAGGTGAAATGAAGGACAGAATAGATAAGATAATGTGAATGATGAAATAATAAAAAACCCATAGCATCTATACTATTACCAGTTAATATATAAATGTGGTTGAAATGCAAGGGGTATGTCAAGCCAGGAAATGTCACAGAGTTGTGGGACTGTGATGATGTATTCTGAATACTTTTTCACATCTTAAACATTTTGTGATAGATTCTAAACTGAAGAGGGCTACCCTTGCTTTTTGTTATTTGTTCATTGTACCTTGATAGACTTATATACCTATTAAACAAACTGCCAACTGGGATTCTTCCCTCTAATTCCATATCTGATTACAGACCCAATTCTGCCCATTTTCTTTATGACAGCCACTGACTCAGTCTTGGCCCTCATCTATTACAGATAAATCCTTTGTTCTTGAATTATTACCCAATTACTTTGCAAGTGCCTCATGGATAAAGATTCTTTTATCTATCTTTGAAATGTCAAGATAGCTAGCACTAGACCATACAGCAAGGGGAGGAAACTTGGTGTTTGGTTATTGATTTTTATTGATATTTTCTGTTCTGTTTTTGGTTTTAGATTCTGGACTGAAGAGATTTTGTTCCAGAAATATACTGATCATTCTTGGCTTCTCCTTTATCATGGCTGTGATTGCTTTGATCGCTGTGGGGCTGACCCAGAACAAACCATTGCCAGAAAATGTTAAGGTAACTCAAATCTGTGTGTGTGTGTGTGTGTGTGTGTGTGTGTGTGTGTGTGTGTTATGAGAGGACTGGGCAGAGTGAAGAAAAAGGAGGTGGTGGTAAATCAGAGCATATAGGAGGAACTGAGGTTCTGGCAGCCCAGGAGCAAGTCACTATTGGATTAGGGAAGTAAAATGGAAACGGATGCTCATTCCGAAAGAGGGACAGAATAGTTAAATTCTGTCCTCAAATCAGTTAACGATGGGAAAGATAACTGTCTTTATGATTGTTCAGCAAATTATTTAAATAAATAACAGAAACAAAGACTTTATTCACCACATCCATCTCTGTGTTATACTGTGCTGATATTCTACTGTCTAGTGCTGTCTCTCCTTCTTACTCATTGTTCATTGGGGATGTGTCACAACACTGTACTCTTTGTTCTTCTTACTCTATCATTATCACTATCACCAAAATAATTGCAAAGCTTTGTATAAAGCACTTTGGAAGTAAAAGATTGTGGGGGAGACTTGTTCTTAATCTCTAAAATATAAAAGAACATAGCAAAATCAATTTTTAAAAAGACACAGAGAAACAAGTATCAGATATAGTAATTTGAAACGAATTCATGGATAGACAGATTTCATATGAATTTCCATATTTGAAGAGCTAGTTAATATCATTAAAAATAATTAGGGTCATTAACTCTGCTGTGATTTATTTCTCCTTTCAAATTCAAAGTAAAATTTCAAAGACATTAGTATCTCACAAGTACCTTGTAATATGTCAATATTTTATTTAATCCTTTAATTAGAAAGCATGTGGTAAATTTACATTTATGCTGTAAATACCACATTTTAATCTTTCATTAAAATTACAGTAAATACATCTACAAGGATATACTCAGAATTTACTGACATGCTAATGAGCACATATGTATGTGTGGGCGGTGACACATTCAGAAGTTAACTTGACCATGGAGGCCCTGGAATACATGTGCAGAAGTATATTTTCTAGTATTTGAAGATATTAAACTGTAAGCCTGGAAATATGGATGCATATACCAGGCTGCTGAAACTTTTGCCACCCACCCAAATCACTTGCTGTAAGGCCTGGATGTTATGTTGGCATCTATTTGCCATACAAATTCAACTCAACTGAGACTGCACAGCAGCTCCTTTGTCAGTACAGAAGGCTGATGCTATCTCATTGGCAATGGTCTCTTGCCTTTTAATGTGGAGTGATGTTGGCTTTCTTGGCAATACTTCACTCACAGTTGAAGCCTCATGACATCTCAGTTCTGTTATTTGTTTACCAGTTCTAAAAGTACATGATTGCCTTCTTGATTTGACCTTTTCACATGTTCTTTATTGCATCACTGGAAAGGGGGACTGCCTAGGAGGCAAAATCCATGACTGACTTGAGCTCTGTGTTCCTAGTGAATACTTGTATGGATGACCTTCTTTCTCTCCTTCTCAGTGGTCATCTTAAAGTCTTGTGATTCATGTTGTTGTGTTGGCTTGGCAAAATGGAACAATGCCTTTGGCATTCTTTCAATAAAAGGTATAAGTATTTGAAGAGCTGACACTGGCATCTGAAGTGAATCTTTATAGCAATATCACTGCTTTATTTTACTCAAAGAGCATTTTATATATGCAAACTAGCCATTTGTTGAGGTTATGCAGTAATTTTAATAAGATTGCTGGAATATATTAAGGGCAAAAATATTTTAGAAAGTTGTCTCTGGTGATGGCTTTAAGCTATGCATGCTGTCTAATTTGACTGTCATCAGCTACATGGAGCTCTTTCAATAGCCTTATGTGGCTGGTGTCTACTGAATTGGACAATGCAATCACAGAACATTCCCATTCTGCAGGAAGTTCTATTGGACATTGCTGCTTTACAACACACCTTTTGATAGTTATCTCTGAAATCATTCAAAATTAAGTTTGATAAAGAAGGTGCATTTTAAATATTTTTAAAATCAAAATTAGGAACAATAAATGAGACTTTTTTTTACTTGTGTGGTTTATAAATTAATACCAAATATCATGAACTACTAAATTGATTTGAGTAGTTTTTTTGGGATAAAGAAATGTATTCCCTTCCAAAAATGATGACTTAAAGATAACAACACATTTAGATATTTGTACCTGGAACATTTGTTTTAAAACACACCATCTTTTTATGACCGTACCTTATCCAGCATCTCTTTATTCATTTGTTCATAAATTTATATATCAATAATTATTATTTAAGTATTTAAGTGTTTATATCAGGCACTGGTCTACACAATTTGGAAGCCAATACAACTATGACTGAGCTTACCATCTGGGGAAAGAAACACATTTAATAGATGACAGTATTAATTACAGTTGTGATGAGTGCCACCAAATAAAAGTTTTCCCTGAAAGAAAAAATGACATTAACAATAATGTCTGAAGGATGATTAGAAGTTAGCTGGGTAAAGAGTATTCCAGGCAGAAGGAAAGCAAGTGTAAGAATCTCACAGCAGGAAATAGTTGGATACCTACCAGAAGTTGGTTGGAGAGCAAGAGTGGGTCATGCATCCTGGCCGGTGTGGGTCAGCGGTTAGAGCATTGGCCCACAGACTGAAGGGTTGTGGGTTCAATTCCCAGTCAAGGGCATGTACCTGGGTTGCAGGTTCAATCCCTGGTCCCAGTTGGGTCCTGTGGGAGGCATCTAATCGATGTGTAGATACATCAATGTTTCTCTCTCTCTCTCTCTCTCTCTCTCTCTCTCTCTCTCTCTCACCCCCTTCCATTCTATCTAAAAATCAATGGAGCCCCAGCCGGTTTTTTTCAGTGGTTAGAGCCTTGGCCTGAGGACCAAAGAGTCGTGGGTTCAATTCCAGTCAAGGGCAAATATCTCAGTTGTGGTTTGGTCCCCAGCCCTGGTTGGGATTGTGCAGGAGGCAACCAATCGATGTGTCTCTCTTGAATTGATGTTTCTCTCCCCCTCTCCCCCCTACCCTCTGACTCTATCTGAAGATAAAGGGAAAAATATCATCAGGTGAGGATTATAAAAAAAGAGTAGGTCATGCTTTGGATAGACAGTGAGAGAGGTGGTGTGGGCAGGGCCTTGCAAGTCAGGTTGAGGCTTTTAGTTTTAATCCTAAACCAATGGAAAGTCAGCAACATGATCAGATTTGTGTTTTGAAAAGATCACTGTGGCTGCAGTGAATTAGGGGGAGAAGGGATAAGAGCAGATGCAGGAGATTAGGTAAGAGGCTAATACAATAGTTTGGAAAAAGGCGAAGGTTTTGAGTTCAATTTTTGAAGAACTGTTTTGGAAGTATTGAATATGCAAGGGGACTTATCAAAGAAGCAGTTGAGTATTCAGATCTGGAACTCAGAGAAGAGACCTGCACTGCTGAATAGAAATATTGGAAACCACATTTTAGTTTTTCTAGGAGCCACATTTTTAAAAAGTAGAAGAGGTGAAATTACTTTTAGTGATACATTTTATGTAACTCAATATATCCAAAATACAGGGGTGGGCAAAACTAGGTAAGAACTCTGTGCCAAAGTGTGCTTGAGCATAGCAAGTAGACTACAAGAATGTGTAAATAATGAAGGCTGGCAATTTGAACACTAACGAGATTGTACCTAAGTGTACTGGGCCATTGTGATATTCTTTTGCATTAATAAAACTATCATAATAATCATAACCTGCATGTCTTTTTCCATACAAACTATAAACCTACTTCTGCCCACCCCTGTATTATTTCAACATTTCATCACAATAAAGAATTATTAATAGATATTTTACATTCTTTTTTTCATAGAATCTTAAAATTCCAGTGTGATTTTTCACTTACAGCACATTCAATTCAGACAAGTCACATTTCAATTGCTCAACGGCCACACGTGGCTAGTGCCCACCTTACTGGATAGCACAGCTCTAGAGTAAAGATACGTCTCTGATGTCACTGATGAATTGAAGCCTTAGAAATGGATGAGATCATAAGAAGAAGGTAAAAAGTGATAAAAGAAGAGTGCAAGGACCAAGTCCTGAGGAATTTGATCATTTAGAGGTTGAATAGTAAAGGAAGTCCTCCTAAACCACAGTGATAACATTATTTTATATAATGCTTTGCAGTTTATGAATCATTTCCACACAATTCAATTTCTTCCTCCCAGCAAAGCTGTGAAGAATGAAAGATTATCCTCATTTTATACCTAACAAAATTGAGGTTCTCAAAAGTGGAGGTGGGGCTAAATTTTGTGACCCAAAGATTGAAGTTATTTTCATTTGTCTTAGTTTTGACAAACACCATATCCTAATAAAAAGGATTAAATGCAAGATATTTGTATTGGGAAGTGATCCCCAGCAAACAGGAAAGGAAAGAAAGTCACCCAAAAGAGGATGTTATGAGCATATCACTACATTGCGTACCTGAGGCTTGATCCCACCAGGACCCTCAGAAAAGCACTTCAGAATCACCTGCTCTGGGGACTTATCCCCTGGTTCTCATCCCCTGTTGGCTAAGGGTTGCCCCATCATGTGTTAACTCCCTGGCACTTCTAGGTTTGCATATTTATCAGAGGGACTATGTGGGTACCATAGATGACCTACTAGGCATCAAGAGAGAAGACCCTGGGCAGAAATACAGAGATGACAGATATAGCTGGGGGCCAAGAAGATGTGAAATAGCCACAACAGGCATCTGAAACATCATTGTACTTACTGCTTTTTGTAGGGGAGAGAATCATTTGTACAATAGTTTCAATATAATAGACACATGTTAATACAGAGATAGGTACACAGTGCTATGGAAGCCCAGAGAAAGCAACCACCAATAAGCCTGGTCATGTGAAGATATCATAGAGGAGGTGACTTTGGCACCAAGGAATAAGAAACACTAGGGAGTTTGCCAGAGGTGAGGTAGGACATCTTCCAGACAAAGGTCATACCGTGTATTAAAGAGCCAAAGCTTAAAATGGCAAGCAATTTCTAGGGAATCACCAGTAGTCCAGTTGGCTGGGATACTGGATATGGAG